CAGAGGCCTCAGACAAGCTCAAGACGACAGAAAAGCTCTCTTCAAGATTGCTTCGAGCTATAGACAGTTACCGTCATCGCTATTATCGACAACCACGTACTGGGGCTACATACCCGCATCAACCCTAACCTCTTCTTCCCACCGTAGGCCGATAACGCTGCCTGCACTTTCAACCATAATAGTTAAATGGTCTGAAACTTTCTCATAGTCATTATCCTCTTTTGACTCAAACTTGACCATTTCTTTGTGGTCCGCGTGGATCATGATCTGCTCAGCGTCGGCTGCGCCTGGAACGACCGCAGATGCTTTTGGCACCACCTGTATCATCAGTACTCGCGATACCTATGGTCAACGTGAAGGTATACCATGATTGAATGACCCAGCGCTGTCGGAGTCTCGTACTCCTCGTACGCAAACTTTGTCATAAACTCCCCACTGATCGGCCCGTACTGTCTAAGCTGCTGCTGGAGCCATTCCGAGTCTCGCTCCAAATGCTCTAGCAGCCGGCTGTTGGTGGCCTTGTATACCGATGCCACATTCACCAGCAGCTTTCCAAACTGCACTCCGTTGCCGCCCTGGTGAGGTGTGCCCATGAAAATGATTCCGTACGTCGACGTCTTAATCGATCGATGTTCGTCTAGTGCGCCTTTCCGCGCCGCGTCCGAGTGAATAAGAGCCTGGGCCAGGTCAGCTGTGCATACAATAGAGAGGAGCAAGACTAACGCCTTTGACGATAATGCCACCCAGACTGTGCGCCACGAAGACTATTGGTCGTTTCATGGTCTTCCACTGTCAGAACCGCATCTTATCAATGTCCGCTCTTATCTCACATTTGTACGCTTTCTCCTAAGGCAGAGGTCGGACACTAGCTGCTCGGCATGATCGTGGAGGAATTGGTGGCTAACGCGCTTGCCGTGCGTGTTCGCATCGTATCCCCAGCAGAATATGCGCGCATTTGGGATGTCCTTTGGTAGGAGATCGCGGAGCCAGTGGGTGCCGTTCGCTGCCGTCCACGTCTCGTCGCGGTGTCCGTTCAAGCCATGGACGGCAACAATGCTGGGCACCGTCAGTACGGACTCTTGTGATGTTACGGATGGCTTACTCCAACATCGGCTGCTCTCCCTCCGCCACGATCTTGAGGCCATGGGCCGATGCCTTAGACGGTTCTTGCCGCTTCGATGAGCTGTCAGCCTGCTACAACGTCAGCCTGACCAGAGGCAGAATATCGGGTCGATAAGTACAGAGTCCTGACGATCCTTCCGGAATAAGTTCAGTCGCTGCCATCTAGAGGCCGCCATGGTTCGAGTGCAGGACTCCACGATCTCCCCTATGCTGAAGATTCGTGAGAGTTGCTGGGTTCCATGGTTCTGGGCAGCCTGTATTGACGCTGCCGGCTCAGCTGAGCTCGCATGTCTGCTCAGAATCACGCAGCGCCGCCAATCACGGCGCAGACGCAGTCAGCCCCCAGCGCCGCCTGCCACGTCCGTGTCGCGTGTGGGCGGACGCTTTCGTCGCCATTGCAGTCCGTCACCCAAACTGACGCACGGCAATCGTTCTATCGACCTATATTCTCTAGTCATTTGCAGTCGGCAATCTGGAGCTAGCATGAAGCGAACGTGTCACACCGCTGTCGCACTGTTGGAGAGTGCAAACGTCCGCCCGCACGCGGTGCGGACGTGGCAGGCGCGCCGGGGGCCTGACTGCGTCCGCGCCATGATCGGCGGCGCCCCGTGATTCCGAACAGACATGCGAGCATAGCTGAGCCGACAGCGTCAATACAGGCTGCCCTACAGTATCCCCCCCTGTACGGATTGGACACGATCGTGCGTAGAACAAGGGATTTTACATACAAAAACCCTTGTTTTGCGCACGGTTGTGTCCAGTCCGTACAGGGGGGGACACTGTACGTAAGCGCGCTAAACCCTTTTGCCAAGACACACTACGGACCCCTTCGCACGGATAAGTCCGGAATATATATTTCCAAGGGCCTTTTGCCTCAAACCTAAGAGGCATCTTCTTTCATCCTGGAACTATCGGTTTAATACTCTAAAATATGAAATATGGGAGATGATCGTGGTGCAGGAGGGGTGTAAAGCTAATGCCGTTCCGGATGCTCTGAAAGGAATCATCGATAGTATGATTAAGAACGTCGTACTTTTTTAGCTGCGCACTAGTTTCCTGGGGAGAAATGTCTAAAGAATAATAGCAGGCTAACGATAATTTGATTGAATTGCGAGGGAGAGAGTAAGATGCCGAAGCAATAGATTCGTTGCGGCATAGGGGACGTTACTTGGACTTGTCGAACCGCATCCTCGAATCTCCCTTAGCAGAGTGCCACAATCTGTAGATCCCGTTTTGGCTCCCGCGGTGGATTCTGATCGCGGGCAAGGTTTGATCCCTGTTTCATCCCGAGATCAGATCTGGTCAAGGCTGAAGTCTGTGCTGATCCTCTTGGCGCCTACTGCGTCAGCCACGTCTCCATGGCGACGACACTTTGTTAGGAATTCTCCCTTGATCTCTTCCGCATCTGGCATACCCTCTCCCTCCATATGCTACGACACTCTTCACTTGCGCTATGAAGCGTGCGCCCTCCTGCCCGAACCCAGAGCAGACGCACAAAACGCCACAAGCTATCCCCTCTGAACTCCGTCATCCGATTAGGCAAGCTTGTGGCTGTTAGGTTTATGGCTGTGCGGACGACTCTAGAGTAGTCAGCAATGGCCAACACATTTCGAAGTGGCATTTTTATTCAAACTTTATCCTCTCATTCCTATATAACCTGCGTAACTCCCCGAAAGATTGCCCGCAATAACACCGTCTTAGTACATCCACGCCACTGGGGCCCTGAACGGCGCTGCTGGGACCTTCGCTGGCTCAACTTCGCTCATCCGCGCCACTTTGTCCTTTGGCACTAATAAACCAGCCTCTAATTCTAGCGAACCCGCCTCTGCGTCTACCTCCGGCACAGGATTCTTGCGCTTACGACCGCGCTTTAGCTTGCCCGCCTCTACTTCTAGCGAATCCGCCTCTGCGTCTGCGTCTGCATCTGCGTCTGCGCCAGAGTCTAGCGCAAGACTCTTGCGCTTACGACCGCGCTTTCCCTTGCTCGCCTCTACCTCTGCCTCCGGCGCAGGATTCTTGCGCGGACGACCGCGTTGTCCTTTTCCCTTGCCCTTAGCTATATCCTTCGCAGCACGGTTCGCTCGTGCCTCCTCAAGGCCCTCATAGCTCATTACCTTCGCCTTCCCTAGGATCAATGACTTGGTCGATCGGCGACATTTGGCTTCTTTATTTAGTTTGTATAAGAATCGATTCTGATCCTGAAGTAGGGTTTGTTTGGCAAAGGATATCGAAGCAGCACTAGCAAGCTTCTGTACGTGCCTCTGTAGGCGCTGTTTACTACCTGGCTTATTAGCCTCTTGTTTAATTAGATTATGCAACAATATAAAGGCCTGTATTGTTACTAGAGTTATAGGCAAGATAAGCGTTTACAGTACTTTGTCTTGCGGCCTCGCCACCTTATTTAGAATAGTATGTTCGGCGGGAGGCTTCAGTGTATATTAAAGTACTCTGTTGGGATTAAATAGAAATAAACCAGTTGGATCCCAGGTATAGTCAAACAGTGGTGTGACCGTGGTCTCACACAATGGTGCGACGGCACATCACGAACCTATATATGTAAGTGTCTAGCTGATAGATAGAATGAATGATCACTTGTATCCTTAGTTCAGAGCTCCAACTGGTTATAAGCCTCTCTTTTATGCTTTGACTTGGTACGAGTGGTTCCAGAACCCAGACCCCAGACCCCAGAACCCAGAACCCAGACTACAGACTACAGACATGACTGATTCCAAGATGGACGAGGTCAAAGACAATCGCAAGCTCAAAGGCAAGACCAACTTCATTAGTTGGAAGCGTGAATTTGAGTGCGCGGCCAAAGCAAATGATATCCTTGAATATCTTACCGGCGAGGAAGTCGTCCCTTCCAAGCCTAAGAAAGAAGACTACTTCGTAAAACTTGTCGAAGTAGAAGTTCGTCGGTCTATGCGAACCAAGAGGACAGCTCAGACCTTCACTCCCTCAACCGACGATGATGACGAGGCAGATGATGCCCAGACCATGATGTCCACCAACAACACCCTTAGGTGGCAGATTGATTACAATGAACACAAGACCGCCAAAGAAAGAATGAAGCTTGCAGGCAAGCTACTTGACGCCTGGGTCTCAGACGGCGTTAAGATCGAGATCGAAGACTGTGCAGACGCCAGAGAGGCCTACGACTTTATCAAGAAGCGATACGCGGTCACCAATGAGCGTGCCCGCGATATCCTACTGAATCGGCTCAATGAGCTCAAGCTTGACGACTGTTCATCCATGACTGAGTACACCAACCGGGTGCGCCAGATCACGGCTGACCTCAAAACCGTTAAATATGACATGACCGACGACATGCTTGCCACTGCTCTTCTACATGGCCTTCCACCAAACTTCCGCGACTTCAAAGAGAAGTACGACTGGATCCGCTCGACCAAATCTAATAACGCTCCTGACTTAGACTATCTCTACAACCGCCTTCTTGTTAAAGAAGCCAAGTAAATCCAGTTAAAGGCAGAAAGAAAGACCAAAGACAGGGTACGGAAGGAAGCGAGCAACAACACTGGTCCCAGTGGTAGTACTGGTTATAATGGCGGCCGTAGGCTAAAGCGTGAGGATAAAAGTCATTTGCAATGCGCCTATCCTGGTTGTGGCAAGACCGGCCATACGGAAGACACCTCTTGGACCAAAGAGACCCATCCAAGGCTCCACGATCCCTCAAGGCCAGGTTTGCTGTCAACACCGACAACAAACCCCGCAACTATGTGGGAGGTGCTACGGAAGCCAACCTCACGACGTTCAGAGATGCCTACTCCAGTGCCGGCACCCCAGGGACGGCTCCCTCCCCTGCACTTTATGCAAACATATCTGACACTTTGTCACAGACGCATAGTGCTGGGACTTGCAGAGAGTTACAGGGATCGGGGGGAGTTGGTACTGGCGACTCGGAGGCCGGCGAGCGATTGTGGGTGGGCGTAGGCTGCAAGATAGCTTCGAGGGGCCGGGCGAGGCCATAGAAGAAGTTGCGCGGCGGGCGTAAGGTCAGCTACAGCAGCATTAGCATGGAGAGAGGAAAGGAGACCACACTAGGTATAGGGAGCATACACACCCACAGCCATAGCCTGCCGTCGGCCATGTCTGATGTCTCGCTCAGCAGCCTCTCAGTTCGGCGTGAACGACAGGCTGCCTGCCGAGCGGCGACTCGGCCTTGTGCGCCCGCGAGATAGAGGTCGTCGGTATGGACATGGTCGCTGTGCATGGTCAAGAGCTGGATTGTACGCCCGCAGACGGGCATTGTGCCGGGGCTGGCGACATTGGCGCTGGCCTTGCGTGCGACGGTGATGGGTATGATGGGCGCGAGGTCGATGGAGTTGCTGTCGAGCGCCAGCCAATAGCGGCCGCCCACCCCCCGAGCCGCACTAGCAGCTCCTCATGCGCGTCGACGGCTCATCCTTCCTCTTGCTTTATAATTAGACGGCCTTAATCGTTGACGCCGAGAAACAAATCAACGGGAGTTGGATTCCATTTCAATCTGGCGGTTTGGAAGAAACTTCCGATAACCATGGATGCAGGGATGGGTACAGTGAGGTGATATATTCCAACATGTATCTCGTTAACAAGGCTCTGGAATTCTTTAGTTGGCAATGATAAACAACATTCGACCAGACGTCGATCATGCAGCGAGTGGGCAAGCAGGTAGCGCTCGCTCTGTACAAACCTCGTCGCTCAAGTATGGCGACACAGACAGCGAGGGAAGCAGGAGAGACATCAGCGCGCTTGCATTCTTGTGAAGAGAAAACGCTTCGCCACACATTGCCACTTCCCCGTCGCTGCCGCGGCAACGAATGGGAAGTTGTGGATACTGACCGTGTCTACTTGGAAGAGGATGGGTCTTTGAGTCGTACGCTGCTATGGGAACCAACAATGGCCTTAGTGAGCAGCCTCAATGGAGCGCTGCTTGAGCGGGCTGAGGAGTTGGTCAAGAAGGAGAGCTGTTCGGCCGATGCCTCCATTTCTCGCATCCTTGGCTAGGCTAGCCTTGATCATAGTAAACCCACACATCAGCTAGAGTTTCGCTCTGCTCCTTTACAAGTGCCTGCTCTTTCCAACATTGAAATTTGCCATTCATCTATGACCACTCTTCCTACTAAGTTGTCGCGTCGCTTACCGGAGAGCCCTGAAGCGGATGTCATGGTTGATGCATGTCCATGTCTGGTACTGCTAGATCCTCCCGCGTTGCATCGCTTTCGTTGAGTCTGGTGCGATTGCCTTGTCCCGCTGGAACGCTTGGCTGGACGTCTGTAGTCCGAAGAAAGTTCATCAGTTGTCGATTAGCTCGAGCTCATCGTGTGATCGGAAGGATGGATAGGTTGGGGGTACTAGAGAGCATCGTTAGCCTTGGCGCAAGCCGGTAAACATCTTGCAATACATACATTCCTTAGGTCCGACAGGTCTGGACCACCGTGTCTGGCAAATAGCTTTATGTCCTTCAAAATCCTCGGCTCACAACAACAAAGATAGTCGGCAGTGTATTGCGCGGCTTGAGTGGCTTGGCGATTCCTCCTCGACTTCGATACACACCCAGCAGTAGCGTCGGTAGGTAGAGTTGTAGCTTCAATAGAAGCCGTATCATCGCTTGTAGGATAGCTCGGTAAAATTCGTGTTGGGCTATCGAGCATTGTGCGCTTGCTGATATTTCTAGCTGAGGCTAATCTGCAACATCTACCGACACGATCATTCCGTGATAGTCAAAGGTATAGGGGCCCGGATGAAATCCGCGGCGGGGATTGGGTGGGGAAGGGCTCGTAGGGGCCGAGCGTTGTGGATTGGGAGGTGGGTGCGGAACTAGAAGGGTGTGTGATGCTGTGGGGTTCTGTGAAGTCGTGGGGGCGGAGGTCTTTAATGCCTGAGAAGGGGGCTTGAGAAAGGGAATGTATGGCAATAAAGTCCTCCTTCCTCATCTTGCCCTCGTCCACAAGGGTTATGTGTGCCTCGGTCCTCTTTAGGTCACACTTGTACTGTTCCAACTGCACCACCTTCCGGGCGCCGAATGCCGCAACCTCGTCTTCGCTGACTTCTCTCTCGCGCCTTTCCCACTCATCAGTACCTACATGCTGTACCAGCTTGGTGAAAGGGAAACTGCAGGGATCATTGAAGCCAGCTGTGATCAGCATATGGACCCACATGGCGCCCGAGTGTTCGGACCAGCGGACGAGCTGAGAGAGCTCTTTGTTCTCATAACCCGGTGTTCTTGCCTCCTCTTCTTCCAGAATGCGTTTGAACATGTCCAAGTATCTAAAGTAACGGGCAACGATTCTAGTTGGCTCCCCCTTGTAGCAGTCCCACGCCTGGTTTGTCGGCCGGTCCATGAGAAGCCACCATGGAGCCGAGCCCAAGAGCTGGGCGGGCCCGATGTAAGACCATTCAAGGTCGACCACACCGATGACCGTCAGGTCTTGTCTGCTTCTAACCATCAAGTTCGCCAAGCCAAGGTCGTCGCAGATGATCTTGAACTTGGTACGGTCGTACTCGCTGTGAACGAAGCTGGGTATCAAAGACTTTAGGGCTTTAAATGACCGGTACTTGGCCATGGCATCGTATCGGCCGTACGTTGAGTTCGGTTGGCGGATAAATTGTTCCCAATCTTGCTCGGCAACGTACTGGAAGTATTTGGTCGTCGATGAAAAGCCCTTGTTCCTATCACCTAGAGATTGTTCTGTTAGTGGGAGTGTAAAGACAGTGCCAAAGGGGCGTACTGAAAGTGTCGACTCCTCCAGTTTGGAGAATGTCATGAGCCTTCCAAGTCAGCGGCCGTATTGGGAAGCGGAGCCCTGGAGTTAAAGGGTCTAGGCTGCCGATGTGGTCAAAGTCGAGCTTAAAAAGCTGAAGCAGGAAATTGGCAAACTGCCTGTAGATGGTCTCCATCTCGTCGTCGCTGACGTCTTCCCTCAGGAGTCTCGTGCCGCCGTTGACGTCCTTGAGCAGGTCGTTCAGGCTCACGCCGTCCTGGATGAACTCCATGATGATGAAGGGACCTAACCCGAGAGGGTTTTGTGCTGCAACGCCCCAGGCCTGGATCTTCGGAACCGGTATTGTGGTTTCACGGTGGATAAGATCGATGACAGCAACCTCCATGGCGACCTTCTCGTCAGCATAGCTATCATGGACCTTACCAACTCGCGGGAACCGAAGCAGCCAGGCGGTGCCATCGCCAAAAATGAACTTGGATCCAGCATTGTACGAGCCATAACGAAGGTCGTTATCCGCGAGCCGGCAGGGGAGGCGGTCGCGACGGAAGCTTGACACCCATTCGCAAAGGCAGCCGCTTCGATGCGTCTCGTTCAGGCGGTCCTCCCAGAGTTCCCCCTGCACCTTCTGCACCAATTCGATACGCTCATCGACGTCCATGATAGATATCGGAAAATGTGTCGGGGGAGATGGAGGGGATGTAGGTTTTGGCGGGTAAGGCTGCGGCCCTAAAGGGCTGGCGGGGAACACACAACGACAGGGGTCTCGACTTAGCGGTGACAGGGACCAACCACATCGCTATATTGGGAAACACGACAACAGGCCGGAAAAGCGGCCACACCCACACTCCTATTTTCTGGCTATCTACACCATGAACGAGATGGAGAAGAGACACCCGGCGCTTCCATGAAACGCACTACCACCCAGTGGCAGAGCAGCCCACTGAAAATGTCCAGTAGAAACCAAACTCGGTCCAGCCAAGGGAGCCACGCACCTTCCGCGATGGTTCCTCCTCCGACCTGCATATTGAAAGTCTTTCACGGTGATGGCTGCCTCGCTCGGTGCGGCTAGATGGTACGGTCCCGTTGGTATGTCGGCTCCAGGAGGCTGCAACAAGGAAGCTCTCTGGTGTCTCGTGTTTAGCTAGAGCCCGAGCCCTTCTGTGGTCCAGAGGTGTTAGTATATGTCTACTCTGCATGGGGATGGGGAGACACGAACAGTAGCTTCTTCCTTGGCCTTCTGTTCAGCCTCACGCCGGGCCTTTTCCTCTTCAAGCATGCGGCGCTTCTCCTTGGAGGAATTGGCGGCGTCCACCATACGGTTGATGTCCCCGGTGCTGGTATTAGCGATGGCCTTGGTGACTTCTTGTGAAGCAGATTGGTCTGACATGATGGATAAAGTTCAAGTGGATTTTATGGAAGAAGGTTTTCGTGCAGTAGATAGGTAGCTGGTGAAGACAGCAATGTTTCGATGCCAGTACATGGACCATATATTTAGGCGATTCCGGGGCTGTCAAGTGAGAAAGTGAGGCGGAATGGAGCGGGGTCAATCCAGGCATCACTCCAAACGTTTCCGCTGGAAAGCGGCTGCCTAGACTCTGCTAACTAGGTTAAGAAATTGGTGCAGAATGATACTTCGCTTCTTGCTCTGAGGCAACAACCGTTCACATGCGTGTGAAACAGTCAATCCCGGTTGAGATTAAACAAGATCGATCGTGGTGTTCTGAAACTAGAAATGCAAATTAATTGTGCTCTAATCCGCTACGCCATTTAGTAAACTAGCATTTCGCGTGTCGCCGATGTCCGATGCCTCCATTTCTCGCATGATTCTATTAATGGATTAACGCGGTATGCTACTAAGAATTGCGGTTATGCAGCAGATAGCTAGTATTTTAGCTGCGCAGCGCAATAGATCTGCCACTATACAACCTATTAGCGAGAAATAGGTAATATCCCCTACTATATAGCAAGAACCACACTATAACAAGAAAAACCATATATACTTAGATTTTAAACTAATAAAACACTCTTCTAACATCTAAATTCTTATATTGCAATATTTGGATTATATATAAAGGGTTCTTTTTAACCTTATAATAGCTACTACTAGAATATTACTAATATTATTATTGCCTTTATATATAGTTTATAAAGGGCCTTATTTTATAATATAGTAAAACTCCTCTACTATAGATCTACTACTAAGCCTATATTACTTCTAATAGTTATAATATAGTAGTATCTAACTTTCTAGCCTTATAAACACGCCTATAGGTTATCCTTAGCCCTATAGTAGTAATATAAGAATAATTTATATAATATTACCACTGTTATAGCCACACGTTCGCTCACGATCGAGCTATAACACGTGCCCGATGGTCACGTGATTAGGGCTCCGCGGAACGGATTAACGTTGCTCCGACCTTAGGTTTATAACAGCGTTAAACCTAGGAACCTCTTCCTTCTTTGTATTTATCTTTTGTTTATATTAATACAACTTATTTCGATTCCAACCTTAAGCCCTAACTGTTACTGTCACGTCGTTCCTCAGCATTCTCTTGGTAGTCATCGAGGCCTCGGATCATCACGTGCATGGACGTCACGTGATCCCGGGCCGAGGGTTCTTCCGGCGCCCGGAGTTCTGCCGGCGCCTGCTAGCGCGCGCTCAACTATATAGCAGGCCCGTGGCCGGAGCCTCCCTCCTCTCCACGCAACCTCGTCAATAGCAATACAACCCTTTTCTCGGCCACGAACCTGACAGTTACGGTAACCACCCGTGACACCTTACCCACTATAATTCGCCGATCACGTGTCTAGTCTAGCTCCTAGTCTAGATTATATCCCAGAACGTAGCCTAGATCACGTGACCTAGTCTAGGTCGTAGTCTAGGTTATAGACTAGATCACGTAGCGTCGTCACCTGATCTCGCATAGAGCTCGCGAGCTCATGCCATACGCACGTTCCGCCGGCATATCTTCTTCGCCGGCGCTCTCGATTTCCTATTCCTTACACAACGTCTTGATTCCCCACGTAGTAACGTGTTTAGCATCTAATTAAAGCTTCCTTCTAAGCTCTTAAACTCCTGCTTATAGCACTATTATAACACTAACAACCACTTCTATTAGTATTTTATAGTTAAGTAATATAAGTCTAGTTATTCTAAAATACTATTAGTATATTTTATATAATAATTACTTGTAATCTAAGCTATATTAGCTATTAAGCTAAGCCTATAGCTAGAAGCTATCCTAAATAAAATAGTAAAAAGCTATATAATTATAATTATCTAAAGTTCCCCTATTAAAAGTTATTAAGCTCTACTCTAGAAGTTAGGCTAGAGTAGGCTACTATTTCCTACTGCTAAATAAGATATGCTAGTAAATAGAGTATAACTACCTTAATTTCTAGCCCTTCTATTTCCTCTAAATTTAATAATAAAGTTAATAATACTAATTCTAACCTTTTTTCTAACTATATATAGGGGGACTACTAATCGTACACCCCTTAATTCCTAGACGTACACCCCCTTTTCACTACACGTACACCCCCTCCCCCCCTATCGCTTCACCACCTTCTGATTGGCTCGGAAGGCTGCTCCGTAGCCTCCGATTCGCTCGCTTAACTTGCTCATTCATTCCGAATGCTCTCTCCAAATGCGGCCATGTACAACACAAGCAATTACATTATGCCAATTTGTATAGCCTTACGTACGAGCTTATATACAAGCTCACGTACGAGCTCATGTATAGCCTCACGTACGAGCTCACGTACGAGCTCACGTACGGCCTTATGTATAGCATTACGTACAGCCTTGTGTATAGCATTACGTACGGCCTCACGTACGAGCTCACGTACGGCCTCGTGTATAGCATCACGTATGGCCTCACATACGAGCTCACGTACGGCCTCGTGCATAGCATCACGTACGGCCTCGCGTATAGCATTACGTGTAGAGAGACGTAAAGGTGAATGCCCGGAGGAAGCTCCGGGCTCTCCGAGCCAATCAGAAGGTGGTGAAGCGCTAAGAAGGGGGGGTGTACATGGAGTGAAAAGGGGGTGTACGTCTAGGAATTAGGGGGTGTACGATTAGTAGTCCCTATATATAGGCTTATCTATATAAGCTGCTTTTATATCCTAACTATAGCAAGTTCTAGAGCCTTTAAAGCAACTTTCTTTTCTATTTATAAAAGTAAGATTTATATAAAATAATAGCAATAATACTAGCTGTATACTATATAATTAAGAAAGACTAGTACTACCTTAGGTAGCCCTAAATCTCTATTCCTAAAAGGATCTAAATAAGTATATATAGAACTATAATTTTAGAAATAATACTAGGAAAGTAGTTATAGGTAGAGGTATAATAAAGTAAATAGAAATATATAGGGTGTTATAATACTAAAAAATATAGGAAAGGTAGATAGTATAGCTATAGTCCTGCTAATATAGTTATAATAAGCCTTTACTTTATATAGTAGTAAAATAACATATTATAAAATAATATAAGAATTATAAAGGTATTTACTTAAAGTATAAATACCTATACACCCCCTATTATATTATTCCTCTAGGTTCTCTTATATTAGGGCTTAAGGGTGGAATCGAAATAAGTTGTATTAATATTAACAAAAGATAAATATAAGAAAGGAAGAGGTTTCTAGGTTAGAGCAACGTTAATCTGTTCCGCAGAGCCCTAATCACGTGACTATCGGGCACGTGTTATGGCTTAATTGCGAGCAAACGTATAGCTATAGGGCGCTAGTACCTGTACACCCCCTTTTTAGTAGTTGTACACCCCCTTTTCTAGTAGTTATACACTCCCTAAACCCCTGTCGTTTCACCGCCCTCTAATTAGCTCGGAGCACTGCGCCGGAGCTCCGGTTATTCACCTATACATCACGTGAGGCTATACGCGAGGCCGTATATAAGCCCGTACGTAAGGCTATACAAAATGGAAAGGCTATACAGCCTCTCTATTTTACGGCTCATCCTTCTATTTTATATAGCCTCACGTACGGGCTTATATACGGCCTCGCGTATAGCCTCACATAATGTATAGGTGAATGCCCGGAGCTCCGGCGCATTGCTCCGAGCTAATTAGAACGCGGTGAAGGGGTTGCAGGGGGGGGGGTTGTACGAATAGCAAAAAGGCATCATATAAATAGCAAAAAGAGGTCGTATACGTAGCACTGGCCTAGAACTATAAACACCTTTCTAGCTATAGGAAGTTCTAGAGTATATTAAAAATAAGAAGAGCTAGCCGGAACTTTACATTTCCGCTACGGCAATTACTTATACCTAGTATAAAATTATAAAACTATAGCTAAAGAAAAGTAGTTAGTACTTGCTTTCTTATTTTATAGCCTTAGACAGTAATTAAATTATTTACACTTATTCTCTTTCTAATAATAGTGCAATATCCTCTTTTATTAATTATAATACTAAGATCTTTACTACTATTAGAATAGTATACCGGCAAAGATCTTTATAAGAAAGCCTTCTTCTATACTACTAGACCTACTAAACTTTAGTCTATATTTTTATTTACAACATCTATTAGTTCTATAGAACGCTATATTTAATAAGCTAAACCTAAAAACCTTCTTTAGATTTATAGACTAGAATTTATTCTAGCACTAGACAACTTCTTATTTAATACGC